TGAAAAAAAAAAAAAAAAAAAAAAAAATTTACTCTAAATTCTAAGATTCTTGCTATTATACATCAGATACTTTTTATAAATAGGTAGTCTCTTGAAAATACTCTTAAGTACTTATTTATAGTCAAGAGAACTTGCTTTTCACTCTTAGAATAGTTTAGACGCTTTAAACGTATGCATATGTTAAATGTTTTCTAAAGAACTTTTTTCACGTGTAAATGTGATTTGGATCACTTAGACGTTCAAACACTTATATGTCCTAGTACCTACCGAGTCGTGTTGTTGATCTGTACCTAGTCAGCCATGTCGATGGCAGGAGTGTGACCCGAGTCCGACTTGTTTTACAACTCCATTAATACATTTGTTGATCTATGATTATACCCAAGTCGGCCCTAAAAATTTCGAGGTCCTAAAGGCGACAAATTATAATGAGGACCTTTAGTATAAATTTTTATGTGTTATTGAATATTTAAATAAATAACATATTTATATGTCAATGAAATTTTGTATAATTCAAAAGACATGGTAAAAAAATGAAACATCTTTCACAATCTAGAGATTAGGCTAACATAATATTTACCGCATTTTATTGTAAGAATGCATTAAAATTGTAGATTGATAAAGAATGTATGATTAAAAATAAGAAAAAAATTTAGATTTACGAGTAATATTATTTTATTGAAGAATTTGTGATTGAAAAAAAAAATGAGAGAGAGATAGAGAAATATATTTTGAAATTAATGAGAATCAAACAAAGGCTTAGCCTTCTCACTTGAAGAGATGCAAAATTAGTAAGCAAATTATTCTTACTGTGTATTTTAGTTTGGTAAATGTCATATTTTTTAATTAATCTAATTTTTCACATTGAACAATTTTGAATACTTAAAATACACTTGAATAAACATCTCATTTTGAGGGTTTTATATACTGAATAGTAGGTTAGGAATCTCACTCTCACATGTTATGTTAGTAAAGATTGTACTGGAAAGCATCTAAATGAAGAGTTCATAACATTGAAATATGATGTATGCTTAATGTGCCAAATTCAAAAAGCTATTGCCGCAAAATAATCCATTGGCTGTACTATTTCCACAACAGACCTGTCTTCCCCAATTTTTTCGACAAAATCAAACTATGTTCACCATTTTGACGACGCAAACATTAAGAAAATGAACAAGACGTAGAGTCGGACTACAATGTAATTTCTTATGCATTCAAAATCTTTCAACAAAAAAAGTAATAAAGTGCTTGTACTTTCGTATTTGTTCCTGCCTTCACTTTCCTTGCTTAATATTCCAATTCATTTTGAGGCCCTCGACATCTTGAGGCCTTAGGCCATTACCTAGTTGGCTTTGGTCTAGGATTGGCCCTGATAATACTTTTTGAACAAGACTTTGAAAGCCAACCCTCTCCATGTTTTGCATGCAAAATCTTGAAGGTATCACTAACCTAACAGGCTGCTTCTTTTTTTTTTGGTCACATAAGTTCCACGTCTGTATGAATAGCTCTAATCCATGCCCATACTTGCATGGGAAAGCGTGGCATCCATTAATGGACATTAAATTCATGACCACCAAACTTCATTAATAAGTAGTGCATACCACCACCACCAACATCTCCTCTCACTTCCTTAATACTCCAAGAGAGAGAAATATGGGAAACGACAGAATGAAAGAGAGTGCAGTTGCTGGGGAGGATGCAATGAATGAAAGCACTGGGTTGCGCACGGCGGAAACACTGCTGCGCCTCCTGCCTGTGGCCCTGTGTGTGGTGGCGCTAGTTATCATGCTCAAGGATTCCCAGAGTAATGACTTTGGTTCTCTATCGTACTCCGACATCGGAGCCTTCAGGTAACCGTTTATTTGGATTCTCTTCGTCGACTAATTCATGTTTGAAGACGATTTAGGATCCATTTGGCATGATTTTTGACATCCCACAGCTGCTTTTGTATCCGTTTGGTTAATTTTATAAAAGTATTTCTTCTAGTTAAAAGATAGACTTAATCTAAAAGCTATTCAGGAAGAGAACTTTTTCAAAAATTATTTTCAAAACACTAATTAATATAGCTGT